AATGAAGATGATATTCTATGTCAGATAGATGGATACAGGTGGTTGTTGTCAGGATCTTCTGCGGGTGCATAGGTGAATATATAATGCAAATTTGAAGTGAGGAAGAGTAACAAAACATTGGTGTAGAATAACACAGATCCATTCTATTTTTCCATATTAGTTTGTTTATTAGATATACTACATAGCCAGTGAAACAGTAGTATTTACTGGATGACACGGTTTCGAACAAAATTTATTGTTCATAATCATATCAATTGTAATCACACGACTTCAAAACTTGAGTTTTATAGTTTCCTTTGTTCTCTCTTATTTGTCGACGTTGGGGTAGTAGAATTTTCCATATTTCCCGCTGGACAGGTGATGAATCATTCCTATCCCCTGTTGTGGTAGATATATTCATGGATAGGTGGGAAAACTTAGCAGATGAAACGTTTGGCCCTACCCCAAAAGTATAGTGGGGGTATGTAGATGACACATTCACTGTACTTAGAACACAGGATGTAGATGGAATTTTCGAACACATTTATTTACTCAAAGGTGGAGGCAATTCAATTCACTTATGATGAATTGGAAAGTCAGGAAGAAGAACTGCTAATGTTAGATTTTAGGGTAAAAAGTAAAGAAGACGGGAAAATAAACACTACTGTGTGTTTACAGGAAACCCACACATTCAAACAGATATTTGGACTTCCTATCATCCCATCCTATGTCAGTGAAAATAGGATTGGTGAAATGACTAAGTAATATAGGGCACAAGAACAAAGTAGTACCAAGGAAAATCTAAGACAGGCGGTGAGGTATATAGGAGAAGCTTTGAAACTTAATTAAAAATCACCCTGATAAATTAGTCAGAAAGTATGTTGGGAAATGTAAAAATAAAACTAATAATATTAATGACGACATGCATGTCGGTGGCAAAGTGGTTAGGACTCTCGCCGACCATGCACATGGTCCGGGGTTCGATACCCTGCCGACGCACACCCGATATCTATGGTCGGCCTGCAAAATTTGGGCTACCGATATCCGTGCTGAAAATTCCATACTTGTACTGAAAATACAGTGTGGAATCAAGCTGTAATAAAAAAAAAGACATGCTCAAGATAACGACAACACCAACAATAAAGAATCTAAATCATCAGTAGTAATTCCATACAAGGAAGGAACCTCGGAAACCTTTCGCAGAATTCTTAACAATGCTGGCAGGAATAAAAGTGGCTGGCATTCAGACACCCCACAAACTCAATTAGAAACATGCTGTGTCGGTTAAAGGATCAATCCTATGGAGCCTTTAAAACAAAACAATTTAGTTTATCTAATACCCTACTTGAATAACTCTCAGGTCAAAGTAGTGGAACAGTGCCAGTCAGAATAGCCAAGCATAAGACCTATCAAAATCTAGATTAATAGACCTGACACTTAGATAAGAAATCTGGAGAATAGCTCAGCTATCGAAAGCACTACGTGCAATTACTCGCAGTCATACAATAGGATGGGATAAGATGACAGTTTTAAAATCTAATCTGACAGGGTGAATGGAGGGAGAGATTGATAACAGAAGCTTTGTTTAACGAATCAACTGCCAACATGTGTAATAGGAATGATTCAACACCTGTCCAGTCGGACATCTGGAGAATTCTACTACCCCTACGACAAAGAGGAGAAAACAAAGAAAGCTATAAAACTCAAGTTTCGGAGTAGTGTGATTATAATTGACGATATGATTATAAACAGTAATAAAGTGTGTTCGAAACTGTGTCATCCAGTAAATAATAATGTTTCACTGACTGTGTGATGCATCTAATAAACAAACTAATATGGAATTACTTACTACCACGTTGCCCAAGTTTTACACATATATTAATCCATTTTATATTGTTGGTTCATCGCATTAGCTGTCTATGACGTATAATTTGTGTCTGTTAATAGGCATATTATAAGAGCGTCATAGTGAAATAAACCATTAAGATGATAAGGTAACTGAGGTATGACAGTCCATGTGTATGTAAATATATCCTGTTAGAGAGAAGTTTTTTGAAAAATTAACTGATAAATTTGTTTGGTTACAAGATTTCATCATGAGCTGACATCGGTTAGAGAACCATTGGAAAACCTGGGAGTACTAGGACAGCTCTTTCGCCCTGGTTTGGGACTCTTCATCAGTACGCACGCACTGCCACGGTTCGAACCCAGGACCCCTTCGGGTCACAAGGTGAAGAGCTATCTCGTAAACCATTAGGCCACTGGGACACAATCCAATAGTCGGTGCATGAATTCCAACTTTTGGTAATTCACGACGTAGCGCGACCACTAGCCAATATCTTCTGCGAGCATTTGTCCTAACGCCCGACCTGTTGTACCCTTCTGGTCACGACTGCCAACTATAACCCCAGATAACTATTTATCAGAATAGGTCCAGTCGCAAGGGGGCATCTCATTGATATTCAAGTATTGGTTTGTAGGAGGAGTTGGATTGATTGGTTACGGGATTATTGTTAGGGTGGCAGTAAAGGTTAGTAACAATTACGTTGGTGGATAAGAGAAGATAAGAATATGGTGTGCGAGGAGGTCAAATAAAAGGATGATGGTGGTTGTTTAATACAGTGAGTAGAACTCATACCGACAAGCAGGTGTGAAAAGATAAGTTAACAATACAGAGAGTTACTAAGGGAATAGTCATCAAAGTAATTGAAGTTACGTAGGTCACGTTTCAGTTGTTTCATTACGATAAATTCAGCAAAGAGAAGATGACTTGACCTATTATATCTGTTAATTATTTTGAATGATGCCAGAGGGTCTATTCGCTGTCCTGTCTCTCTTAGGTGTTTGATGATTGAAGAGATTAAACTGGTTGGCCCCCATTTTTAACTGGAGAGCTCGAGCAATCTGATATAGGTCCTTGGTATTGTGTGGAAAAGCAAGAGAGACCTTCATTACCCTCTGAAATCTGTCGAAATCAACATAAGAAGGTAAAATTCGCGTTTTCAACACTAATATCCAGGTAGTGCTTCTATGATGATGGTTCAGTGGCGTGCACATCACCAATAAGCATTTCCCAATAGGCTGTTGCAACCTTTTTTGCACATCTGTCTTCGTTAGCTTTCCCTACTGAAGAGAGAGCAGATGGCCGACAACAAAGGATAACTCATCAGAAACTTTAGCAGAGAATTAGCCAATACCCCATTGTCCAATACATATTCAGAAGGGAATGAAGATACACTGAGGAGATCTTCAAGTGACATTACGCTACAGGACTGGACTGCATTGACTCCTAGCTTAGAAATAGGGAGTTAAGTGGTTGCTGGAGCGTGTTGGCCATTTCACTTACTTGGGAAGCTGCATCAGCCAACGCCAACGGGTTGATCTCTGATGAAATCTCATCACGGATAGAGAAGGCTTGTTTCATATGCCAGTTTACGTCGTCTCTGGATCAGTAGACGTGATATCCGGCCGGTTGTCGACGAAAGGGCGTGTGCATTGGTCAGCAGTCCGCTCCGTCCTCCTTTATGGCTGTGAGACCTGGCCATTGAGAGTGGAGAACATGAAAAGCATGGCTAGCTGTCTTTGATCATAGGTGTCTGCGCTCTATCTCCCATGTTACGTGATGGTATAATAAGGTGAGCAACATTGAGGTTAAGTGTCGGTCAAGGGGAAATCAATAGACGAGTCGGTGAAGTTACACCAACTGAGATGTTTAGGACATGTGTTACGCATGCCTAGTCATCGCCTTCCTCGACTGACGGACAATGTTAGCTGACATAGGGTCAAGTTCGAAAAGAGCTAGTGGCGGTCAAACCAAAACATGGCTTTATTAGTCAATGAAATGCCCAACAGTTAGTTTAAGCGAGCCACTTAGGAAGGTGTAGATTTCCTGACTGTTTGGGGTCCTCGGGACGGTAAAAACCAATGAAAGCTGGAGACAATTGGTGATATGACTTAAAATCGTTTTCAATGGCTGGCGCAGATGCATCTACTCCTTGTGATTTACAAGTTCCAATGGAACTATATTGTTCTTCGTTATTACTATTCCTTATGCCTCATATCTCTGTTTATTGTCTCTATTTTGAATTTCTTCTTATCTGGCTTTGTGTGCCAAGTGGAGCGTGGCGACTTGAACTGCTGTACATCAGTGCAAAGTTGTATGTTGAAACCAGTCAATCAGACATCATGTGTCAGTCTCTCGAGTAGGAAATGACAAATTGAATGTTCGAATGTGTCATGGAGAAGATCGCGTGAAGAGAAAATGAAAGCGTGTAGGCAAATGTGGAGCTAACTGAAAAGCACTGCCGGGAAACATGGGTGAAATAACGCTGTGTTTCTATCAACTCCTATTGTAACGGCAGGAGACAAAAGACCTGGTTAGCAATGTTTATTTGATATCGCTATATAGCGAAATTATGTGCATCTTATCGTTGGCGCACTATTTGCATAGATTTCCCGTGTTCTGCTACTTCTCGCCTTCATATTGTGTGTCTCCCATGATTCTCCACAATGCTAAATCATTT